TGCGCCTGGGCGCTGGTCTCCGCCTCAGGCCCCCTCAGCCCCGCCCCCTCGACTCACCCCTCCCCATCCCACACCCGTGCCTTGGCGCTGGACTCCACCTCCGTCCCACGACTCCGGCCTTAGGAGGGGCAGACGCTTCACGCCCCGCCTTCCCGAAGCCTCAGAGCCCGATGGCCCCACCCCTCGGACACGCCCCCTCCCGGGACCACCTCCTCCGACACGCCCCTTTCCCACGCAACCGCACTCCCCACACCCCGCACAGCCCATGAAGCGGGACGAGTGTTGTGTCTTCCGCTTCTGCCTTCGTGTACTTGGGTCCAACCTAAGGCCGCTGGTGGCAATGTTCGTGCTGGGGTCGAGGGTTTGGTTTCCCCTTTACAGTCTTGCCTCTTCTCAGACACACCCACGGTCCTCCTACTTGAATGACCTACTTACTCTCCTTCCTGCGGAAGCTTTGTGACGTCGGAACCTTTGTGCAGCCGGAACTAAAGTGACGTGTGGTGCTAGCAGCCGGGAGGCTATATAAATAGAGGAGTACCAGTTTCCTGGCGGTCAATCGGTGGCGTTCCGGTGAGAGAGGCGGCGAGCGAGGTCTTCGGCTTCATTTCCTGATATGCACCGACCGAATTTTCGACCCCCAACTCCTCCGTACCCCAGCCCGGGGATAGGAGGCTGGGGTGGCGGAAGCAGCTTCCGGGGTGCCCTGGGCGGGGGGCCGCGGCCGCCCTCCCCGCGGGACGGGTACGGGAGTCCGCACCACACTCCGCCGTGCGGGCCCCGGGCTAGGCCGTACGGGAGCAGCCACTCTCCGCGGCACGGCGGCAGCTTCTCGGGGGCCCGTTTCGGGTCTCCGTCCCCGGGCGGCTACCCAGGCTCCTACTCCAGGTCCCCCGCGGGGTCCCAGCATCAGTTCGGCTACTCCCCAGGGCAGCAGCAGACCTACCCCCAGGTAAAGACAATAGCTAGCGTTTGCCGAGCTCTTACTGTAATGGCAGGCGCGATACTAAACTTCCCTTTACGTGGATTGTTTAATCCTCTGTGAGGTGACATACTACGTTGGCCCGATTTTGCAGATGAGTAAACTGAAGCGTAAAGAAATTATTTAAGATTACCGTAAGTGGCAGAGCTATGGTTCTCTGTTCCACAGAAATTGTGCTCTTAACGAGTATACCATATTCATATACAAATTATCTTAATCCTCCATTTCTTCTCCCCCATCCCCCACAAGGGTTTTTTGTCAGTTATTTTCAGTAAATAATCCTGGATTCCCAGGGAGAGAACATGAATGATTCCCTATTGTTGTGTGGCTTCTCTATAGTCCACTGCCATTTCCTACAGATGTCCATCCCTTGGTTTTGCTTTCTTGCTCCTTTTTTTTTTTTTTAAATCGTTATAATTTTCTCCCGAGATATATTAACTTCTACTCCAAGTTCTCTTGAAGGAAAAAATCAAGAATTGGGGATTGTGGAAATTTCTCTTCCTCATAATGAGTGAACACAAGACAGGAAGTAGTGCTTTGGTTAACAATTTGAATCTACGGTGTTTTGAAAATTTGAATATTCTCACCCAACTGAATCCCTTGAGTTGGAGTTAAAAAGTATAGGAAATTTTCGTGCAATATAAAAGTTGTAGAGATTTGAGACTTAGCAGGTTAAAAAGTTTTCAAGAAAAATTGAATACAGTTAATTTGATTACTGCTTGTACTGGGTTTATTTGTATTTAATAACTGCAGGGTTATCACATTAGAAACTCAAAAGATAATAGGCATTTTTTAAAAATGAAATATACAGTTAGTTTTAGTAGTTATTATTTTTATTTTATTTTTTAAGACAGGGTTTGTGTAACAGCCTTGGCTGTCCTGGAACTAGCTCTGTAGACCAGGCTGGCCTCGAACTCAGAGATCATGCCTGCCTCTCCTATTTACTGGGATTAAATACATGGGCCACCAAGCCCGGATGGTTTAAAAAAAGAAAGAAAGAAAGAAAGAAATTTACAACTGAATATATTGGGCTTCAGTGTACAACTTTTCATGTGATCACCACTAACCTTCAACTAGAGTACCAATTATCTCTATTAGATGTTTTTTAACTGATGATTTTTTTCCTAAAGGGTTCTCCAAGGACATCTACACCATTTGGATCAGGGCGTGGTAGAGAAAAAAGAATGTCTAATGAGTTGGAAAGTTATTTTAAGCCTTCAATGCTTGAAGACCCTTGGGCTGGCCTAGAACCAGTATCTGTAGTGGATATAAGCCAACAGTACAGCAATACGCAAACATTCACAGGCAAAAAAGGAAGATACTTTTCTTAACTTTTCTGAAATTCAACTGGAAGCTTCATGTGTCAGGAACATCTTGGACAGAACTTTACACAACTTGTACTTGTGTAAATGAGTTGAACCCAAAGATGATGACTTTGGATAATGAATGATTAGCAGACCCTTGGGACATCTCTAACTTTGTCAAGTATTGTTGATCTTAGAGAAGATAATAGGATCATTTGCAGTATTTAGCTATCTGGGAGTATGTACCACATTCAGAAGACCAGTATACATATTTAACATTTCTAATATAACACATTTGTTTTTTCAGCGATTTAAAATAAAACATTTTTTGTCTTCCTAGTTAAATTGTGATTTTGTAGAACTGCTAAAATAATGCTTCATAATCACTTAGAATTTGAGGGTAAATGTTTTGTAAACTATTTTTTTAGTGAAATAGATAAGCTACTCAAGATAGTTCTATATATTTATTAATAGAAATATTCTACAATCATATATTACTTAGTATTTTTGTTAAAATATTGAAACTTAAAAATCACTGAACATAATTTATATGCCTTTAACCAGAAAAGGCAAGGATAAATCATATATATAAGATAGGTCAGTGTCCTACCCAATTTTCTCTATTTTGAGCATTGTAGATTTATTTTCTCTTGAAGCCAAATGGTGTGTTGATTTGCTGTCATAAATACGAGATAAAATGCCAGACAAAAACAAGGGAGGAGTTTTGGTTCATAATTTCTAAGGTTTCAGTGAAGGTCAGCTAGATCCATTAATTTGGTCTTGAGGTGAGCCAGAATATGGCTGTGGACATGGCAGACACTGCTCACCCTTGGCAACCAAGCAGCAGAAGGATAGGAAGGAGTTAGGGAGAAGAGAAGCCTTTCCAGGGCACCTTTGCCTTCTACTTCCCAATAATACCATCATGTGAACCATTAAGGTATTAATCCCCTGATACATAAATACCCTGATGGATTAGACAAGTGGGGACCCTTCATAGCCATATATAACAAACAACTAACAATAATCTCAAATCACTTCCACAGCAAAGACAAATACATATATTTGATTCCATCAATCCCAAAGAAGACAAATGAAGCTAGACAGTAAGGCCTAATTACCTTGACTCGTGGACACATTTCTAATCTAAGGGAGGGTTTTATGAACTTTAGCTCAGTTTGCCTACCTGGAGTAGTAGGGAAGGGATGCTGTGCATATATACCTATAATAATGGAGATAAAATGTGGAGGAATATCCCCAGTTATTTAAAATCAAGTCTTGAACTATGCAGTCTTTTGAAAAATTTGTCAACATTCTCCAAAAGAAAAGTGAAATGGCTATTCCACCTAGTTGAGCCATACCTATTTGTTGATAAAGTCTTAAAAAGGCCAAAAAAAAAAAAAAAAATACAAACTACTACAAGGATTTGTAAAACCTCCATTGGAGCCAGGACTTCAAAATTTTTCTACAAGTTTTTAGCTAGATGCCCCAGTTTTATCATGCAAAATGAGGAAATTCATAGTACTTAAGTTCATTTATCCCTGTATTCTGAGTTTTTAGAATAGTGCCTGCAAAATAATAGGTACTAAATAATTAAACATATAAATTTTAGTTATAACTATTTTATTGTATAAGGGTTAATACAATAATGTTATATGGTTATTTGAAAGAAAACGTCCATATTTAAAACATGGTTTTTTTTCATGTGTTGTATTTGATGAAAATAAAAGCATTTTGTAAAATGCTTATTGAACTTCATAAATAAAAAAGTAACAGTTGAAAATAATTACTAAACAGTCTCTTAGAAAGTATGTTGTTGGCAAAGATGAAAAATAGACACATGTTACGTGGTTATAATCCCAGCTGCCCCAGAGGCGGAGCTGACTTGATTGTAAGGTTGAGGCTAGCCTGGGCAATTAGCAAGACCTTACAAAAATAATGAAGTTATGAAAGATTTTGTGTGTTGTGTTTGTACTATGTTTGGAAGACATTCAAATACAACTCAGAATTCACATTTTATCCTGGGCGGTGGTGGCACATGCCTTTAATCCCAGCACTGGGAGGCAGAGCCAGACAGATCTCTGTGAGTTCGAGGCAAGCCTGGGCTACCAAGTGAGTTCCAGGAAAGGTGCAAAGCTACACAGAGAAACCCTGTCTCGAAAAACCAAAAAAAAAAAAAAAAAGAATTCACTTTTTTTTCTGCTGGACTTTAGATGAAATATTTTTTAAAAATTTAAATTCTGTTATCTACTTCCAGAGGCCTATCGAACCTTTTCTGACTTTTTAAGGAGAAAATTTTATCCTCAGCAAAAATGCATACACGATTAGTCATTTATTCTGAATTAGGTTTTTGATGGGGTTTTACTTTGTTTCTGCATTGAGAGTCTGGCTATGTAACTCTGGCTTTCATGAACCTAACTATGTAGATCAGGCCAGCCTTGAACTCAAAGAGATCTGCTTGTCTTTGTTTCCTGAGTGCTGGGATTAGACCAGTGCACTACCACACCCTGCTATCTTTAAGAAGAGTTCTTGAAGGCGGGGCCATGGCGCACGCCTTTAATCCCAGCACTCGGAGGCAGAGCGAGGCAGATCTCTATGAGTTCGAGGCCATCCTGGTCTACAGAGCGAGATCCAGGACAGGCACCAGAACTACACGGAGAAACCTTGTCTGGGGGCGGGGCGTGTTCTTGAGCTGGGCATAGTGGCCCACACCTTTGGCCACAGCCCTTCGGGAGGCCAGGTCCGGTGGATCTCTAAATTTGAGGCCAGCCTGGTTGGTCTGTGAAGTGAATGAAGTCCAGGACAGCCAGAGCTACACAGTGAGACTGTGTCTTGAAGAAATAAAGCTGAAAAAACGTATTAGTTACATCTCAGAAACTGGGGTTTTAATTAAAAACAAGAGTATAGTTGACATAACATTGTCTTCAAACAAGATTATGAATTCTCTTGAGCTGATTAATTTTTCCAAGGGATAGATGGACATGATAGTTTTAAGAAAATCGAAATTTAGATCCTTCATTCCCACATCTCTGAAGAATAAATTTACTTAAGAAGATACCTGTGCTAGCACATGCCTTTAATGCCAGCACCCGCAGGCAAGCAGGCAGGGGATCTCTGAGTTCAAGGCCAGCCTGGTCTACAGAGTGAGTTCCAGGACAGCCAAGACTACATAGAGAAACCCTGTTTCAACAAAGAAAAAGAAAAAGAAAGATGCCTATGATCAAGGGAACACGACAGTTTCCTGTTTAATCTGTCTTCCATTTTACAAAAGAAAGAAGATTTGTTTTCAAAAAAGAAGCCCAACAATATTTCTACGCTTTCAGAAATCTGCCTCTTTCCTATCAAGAGGATGTGTCCTTTTGAACTTTATCAATCATTTCTTCCTGTCCTGATTAAAGGAGTATGATGAAATTTAACTTATTTTTATTGTGAATAAAATATTTCATTCAGACTGTTAGATTGCATATGAAAATGTTCAGAATTCAGATGTTTTGTCAAGTAAAGAAGATGGCAATGTTTGTTTAATGACTTTGTCTTTTTTTGTCCCCTATTTTAAAAACTAGTCTTCGGGTGAATCGCATAAAGGAAAACTAAGAGTATGAATATAACATAAAGGAAAAGCTGCCTTTTTAGGCAACAAGCAAATGGTAAGGCTATTTGCCTCTAAGAATATCCAAATCAAATATAAAACTATGATTGATTTTGGTGAATCAGGTTCTGTGTTTCCACCATGCTGAACAATGATGAGTTTGAAGATGGGTCTCAAACTCAAAATTTCTATAATTTCAAGGAGGGAAAAGTTAAAAGCCATGTGTACTTCTTATATACTAACATTACATTTCACGTTAAAGGAATGTGGCTTATATCAGACAAGTATAAGTCTGTAGTCTCAGGGATGCTGAGGCAGAATTACAAGTTCAAGCCCAGCTTGGGCTGTATAGCAAGACCTCCTATTCTTGCTCTCCAACTCCCATCCCTTCCACCCCCAGATATTTGTCAGTTGGTGTTTTATATTTTTTGGAATTTCTTTCAGACTCTTGAAACCTTTCAGATTTTTGCCAGCCTATTAGATAATCTGTAAATTCTCATTAATTTTTTTCTCAGGCCTCCTCAGCTTCCTGTCATGACTCAAACCACAAGTGTTTACATTTTTACCATGAACTTCCTAGTATCATTTCCTCTATATCCAGTACTTACCACCTAATCCAAGATTTGTCATTTTATAACCCACTTAGTGAACACTGCCAGCTAACTTATGCAAATGCATCTCAATTCCCACTTTGACAAAATACCATGTATAATTAGTAGAACCTGCCCATTAAAATAGGAGTAGCCAAGCATGGAGACATACCTTTAATTCCAGAAATCTGGAGGCAGAGGCAGGTGGATCTCTGAGTTAGAGGCCAGCCTGGTCTGCATAGCAAGTTCCAGTCCAGCCAAGACTGTATACATAGTAAGACCCTATCTCAGAAAAAGGGGTGGGGGGGGAGGAAAGAAAAAGAAAGTCTCCAAAATATAGTCTAGAACTTAGTGTATTTAACCCGAGAATCAGATGTCTTTATTCTGTTCTAATGAATTAAAAAGCTTAATCAGTTATAAAGTTCCTACTCTGTATAAATAATTACCTTCATGAAATCTGAGATTTAAACTCCCTAAGTAAAATGACTCTTAAATATAAGGATTATGGACAATGCTTTGTAAGGCCTTTTAGATTACTCTCAAGGGATTACAGAATATGACTTGAACTACTAGGTCTTCATTGGAAGTGGTTTTCAGGTTTGTGTTTTTTACAAAAGTCAAGGTAGTTTAAGATGGATGTGTGATAAATGCCTATAATCGCAGCCTAAACACCTATAATCCCACCTATAATCTAGATATATCAGATGCAGTAGGCAGAGAGATGAGAATTAGGAGTTTAAGGCTATCCTCAGCAACATAGTGAGTTTGAGGTTACTACAGGCTATGATACCCTGTCTCAAAAACTAACAGATTTAAAATGATTTAATGTTAAGTCACTTTTTGTCTTTTAGCATATAATTAGGAGTCCAAGAGTATCTTATATAAAAATATTTATTTTATATGCTTGTGTCCAGGTGTATGTATGTGCACTGTATGCTTACAGGAGTTAGAAGAAGCATCATATTCCCTAGAAGAAGTTTCAGAAGGTTGTGAGTCACTGTGTGGATGCTGGGAACCAAAACTGGGGGATCTGCAGGAGCACTGAGTTTGCTTAGCCACTGAGCCATCTCTCCAGCCCCTTCCATCTCCTTTCTTATGCATATATAGAATGAGTTTTGAAAAACACGTCTTTACTTTAAAATAGTAGTAAAACTGATGCCTTTAGTATTTTTGTCAAAATTAGTATATTTTCAATTTTTTAAATTTAATTTATTTTAATTTTTTTGGTTTTATCACTTGGAGAATTATTAAAGCTATTGGAAACAGATTGTTTTAAATATCAAAAAATATTAATAAATATAACTTTTTGCTTTCTTTTGAGGCAATCTCATGTAGTTCAGAGTGACCTCAAACTTACTGTGTAACCAAGAATGATATTGAACTCCTGATCCTGCTTCTGCCTCCTGTGTGCTGGGATTGTGGGCATGTGTAGCTGTGCCTGCATGACCTTAGTGTATGTGAAGGAGCAGATTTGTCATAGGGTGTCAGGGTAAAACCTGGAGTTATACTTCCTTACACTGAGATTAAATTACATGGGTAAGGAAGGGAAATGCACGTTTGGAATAGATAATGCAGTCTCCAACCTATTAAAGAAAAGCTTAATTTTAAGAAGTGGTGGTAAATATTAAGTTTCTGTGAGATCTAGATTCTGTTCAAATAACTATAGTAAAGTAAATTTATCTTAAAATAATAGTGTTAGAGAAATGACTAATTTTTAAAGTGATGAAAAAAAATTTTTGAGACAGGGTCTCACTATGTATCTCTGACTATCCTGGAACTCACCGTGTAGACCAGGCTGGCTTCAAACTTACAGAGATCTGCCTGTCTGTGCTTCCAAAGTGCTGGTTTTAAAGGTGTGTGCCATATATCTATACCTTTTCAAAATAGTGATCTCAAATCAGCTGAGGAAGGAGGGAAGGGAATATAGTAAACTCAACCCAAGAAAAGTGAAAGAAAAGGATGTAAAAGATTCAGGAACGAGGATGTGGGTCAGTTGATAGAGTGCTGGCCTGGGAGGTACAAAGCCCTAAATTTAATCCCCAGCACATAATACCCTTTAATCCCAATGCCTGGGAAATGGGAGGCAGGAGAATTAGATCAAGGTCCTCAGCCTCACAGCTTGAATCCAGCATGGGTTTCATGAGACCCTGTTTCATAAGTCAAAAAGAAATAGAAAATTTAACATCACAGTGGAGATTTTAGCACATCTCCCACAAAAATAGCTCTATCAAGAAACGAAGAATTTCTCAGAGTATAAGATATTTATACAAAATGAACACACATATAATGTATACATACTTTTACAAGTATGCACATGTAATTCCTTTTTAAATTTTAAAATCAGTACAAATTTAAGAGTTGGTTGATTACATTTTTCTCTCCAAAATATTAATAAATTTCAAAACAAAGTACTCCCCTCCCAAGAAATATAAGTCTGTGAAATAAGACAGCCTATAAAGAATGCCTATAAAAGTAATACCAATAAAGATTGTGAATTGATATTTGTAAATTCTCCCTCCACAAAAGAGTAGACTTCCAGGCTATCATTGTATGTGTAATTTTTGTATTATATGACCCTTTCTTTGGTGGAGGAAGTATTCAATATATCTTAAACTTACATTAATTTATCTCAAAGTTTCCAAGAAATAAATGGAAATTGTAGATTATTACATTTATAGGCATTGTTACCAAAAGTCCTAAACAAAATTTACCAGAACCAGCTGCAAGTGACTACTAGTCACACTGGTACTCGAGAGACTGGAACAGTCAGAAAGCTACCCTGGAATTAAGTCCCAGTCTGAACAAGAAAAGTTAACAAGAACTAATAGTGCTTATTTCACTTATCTCTGGATTGCGGTGAAGGATCAACCTTTCAGAGTATTTTGGTGTAATACACCTTATTACCCAGTTAAAGAACAGGATCCTGTATTAATAGGTAAATAAATTGAAGTAAAAACATCCTTAAAACTAGATACACAGACGTCTTAGAGAAGTGGAAAAAGAAGAGATCACATCTATCCAAGTGCAGAAGAAAAGATCAAATTCACGTGGGCCAGTGAGAGGAAAACTTGAACTATCATTCTCAATCCAAAACAGTTCAGCAATTATAGTTCTCCAGTGTACCAGTTGGGGAAAATGTAAAAGATAAAAATGCTCTAACTCTGTAGCAAGCTGTAATCTTGGAGGAAAAGTACAAAGCATATTGAAGGACTTTTTAAAGTATAACTAAATGGAGAAGTAGGTGCTCAGTACTGTACTGACACCGCCCCCCCCCAATCTATAGGTAGTGATTATGGGATGGGCTTATAACTACAACCTGTCCTTATATCATTCATACTTTTCTAAATTTGGAATTGAAAATACTAGCCATAAAATATTTGCAATCTCAGCAAAATATTTTTCTAATATTTTAAATTTACATATATATAATTTTGAAGTACAGTGTTATTTTAATATTTGTATATTGTGTAAACTGATTGGATGAAGGCAACTGGCAAATCTATCAGTTAGAACATTTATCTCATCTTTGTTTTTACCAGTACTTACTTCTTTGAAACATTCAGTTATTAACAGTCATAGTTACCCTACTGTGTTCTAGGGTTCTTACAGAACACAGAAGTCACTCTTGCTGTTCAGCTGCATCTCTGTTCCTGTTAGCTCTCTTTACCCCACCTGTCTCTTAGTCATCCTTCCCAGCCATGATGCCTTTTAAAATACAACATCCCAGTGAGAACATGGTATTTGGGTTTTTCTTATTTTATTAAGTAATGTTATTCAAAAGGCTGGGTGGTGGTGGTGCATGCATGCCTTTAATATGAGCATTTAGGAGGCAGAGACAGGTAGATTTCTGTGAGTTTGAGGCCAGCATGGTCTACATAGTTCTAAGACAGCTAGAGCCACATAGTGAGACCCTGTCTCAAAAAACAAAAAGTCAACCAGGCTTATCTATTTTGCCACAAATGACAGGATTTTGTGGTTTTTATGACTTGTTAGTGTGTATGTATCATATTTTCCTTAGCCATTCATCATTTGTTGGAGACCTAGACCAGTTTCATATTTTTACTATTCCTAGCAAGTTGTTTTATTTAATGGACTCTAAATTTTAAAACAGACTTTTTTATTTTGGGGCCATACATGTGCCATGGTGCCAGTGTCAAGAGGACAGTTCATGGGACTTGGTTCTCCTTTCATGGGGGTTCCAGGGGTCCACCTTGGGTCATCTGGCTAGGAGGCAAGCCCTCTTTACCTGCTCAGCCACCTCACTGGCCCTGTTGAATCTGAATTTTAATTGTGAAAGCAAAAGACCTAGAGTAGCAGTTCAACAGAACATGAGTCTGTAAAAGAGT